AAAAGCGGGGGATTCTCTGGAGTTCCAAGCCAAGTGGGGGCCCAGGGGGCTCCTGTCTCAAAAACCCAAAAAAAAAAAAAAAAAAAAAAAGAGGGGGATCTTTTAAAAATATTTATGAGGGCATAAAACAGGGATTCAAGACAATAATAAGGGGGCAGTGAGATGACAAAATGGATAAAGGCACTTGCCACCAAGGCTGACGTGATAACTGAGTTCAATCCCTGGGGCCCACATGGTAGAAGGAGAGAATCAACTCCTACAAGATGATATCTGACCTCCATACATGACCCATGGCACGTTATGTGCATACACGAGAGAGAGAGAGAGAGAGAGAGAGAGAGAGAGAGAGAGAGGCGTGTGCATGCACACAAATAAATTTGAAACGTAAAAAACCCCACACAATTTGAGGGTAAAAGTTGCAAATCATAGGAGCTTCCTAAAGAAGGCATGAAGCAAAAGAATTTGGCCATGAAAGACTCAAGGTCTGAATAAGCGTTCCTGAGGGCCAGGCAGGGATTCCAGGCTCAAACAACAATACGAACAAAACTAACGAGGCAAAATAGTGCACAGAAAATCATATCATGGAAAATAGCTCATGATACATATTTTGGTTTGTATGTATGAGTGCTTGTGTTCATATTCACATGGGTGCACATGTGGGAGAGGACGTATATGTGTGTGGAGACCAGATAACCTCTTGAGACAGGGTCTCTCACTGGCCTGTGATTGGTCTGGTTAGACTGACTGGCCAGGAAGTCCCAGAGATCGGCCAGTCTCTACCTCTCCAAATCTGCACTGGGTAGCCTTCTTTGGTGGGTTTTGAGACTTGAACTCAGGTCCTCATGCTTGAAGGCAAGTGCTTTATTGGCTGAGCTGTCTTCCCAGCCCTCATAGCACACTTTGATAAAGTGTAAGGTCAGAAGCAGAAGAGGAGTCTAGCCTGCAACATGTCAGAGGAACATCAGTGCCTTAGAAAGAGTGAAGGCTTTGTTTCTAGGCAACGGGGAGTCCCAAAGTGTAGAGGAATGGAATTTTCAGAGCTGTTATTGGGCATTTCCTTTGAAATCTGTATAAAGGACCCATATATGTAATCACTCAGGCAGACCTTTGTTACCTGACAGTCACAATGTTAGTGCTGAGAACACAGGAATTACTTAAAATGGCCTTTCCCTAAAGAACTTGAACTTCAGTCTACAGCAAAATGGATTAAAAAGCAGAGAGAGCAAGGAAAGCAAAAGTAGCTGGATCCACTTTGTATGTTTTATTTTTTGAGACAGGGTCTCATGTAGCCAAGACTAGCCTGGAACTCACTGTGTAGAAAAGGTTGGCTATGAACTTGTGATGTTCCTCCTGCCTCCACTGCTCAAGTGCTGGGATCACAGGTGTGCACTACCATGCCCAGTAGGACTCTCTTTCAAAATATATCACAGCCCCCACTACTCCTCCCCAGCCACCAGCCATTCCTGGACTAGTAAACTCCTAACTCAGCTCCCATCCCACTTTGACTGCCATGTAGCAGCACTAACTCAGTACACACCCCGGCCCTTTTAAAGGATGTAGACCCGTTACATGTCAGCCTTGTTCTCCCCGCTCCTGTAGCTGCCAAAATTCAAATCTGCAGTCTATGTTATGGCCAACTGGCCCAGGGTGTAATCTCCATCTTCTCTTCCTCACCCAGCTTTCCACAGCCCCTGCTGGCACCCATACTCTGGCTACTCTGGCTTCCTTACTGATCTTTGAACACACCATGCCCAGTCCCATCTCTCTCAGAACTTATTTTATTATTTTTATTTTTTGTGTATGAGTATTGCCCACATGTATGTAAGTACACCCTTGTCATGGGTACTGGGCATTGAACCCAGCTTCTCTGGAAGAACAGCCAGCTTTTAACCACTGAACCATCTCTCCAGCCCTTCTCTCAGAACTTTTTGGGGTTTTTTTTTTTTTTTTTTGGTCTTTTTGAGACAGGGTCTCCCTGTAGCCCCAAGCTGGCCTGGAACACGCTATGTAGACCAGGCCGGTCTTGAATTCACAGATCCACCTGCCTCTGCCTCCCAAGTGTGCCACCACACCCCGGCTCCTATATCTGTGGTTGTCTCCTAGAGGATTCTTCTCTAGTTTCCAAATGGTTTGCTCCATACTTTTATCCAAGAGAGGTTTTCCATAACCAATTACCCCACATGAGACTCACTCCATCCCTCACCCTGCTTTAGTTTTCTTTGAAGAACGTGTCTAATGTATTATATAAAGCTGCTTATTAACATGTTCTAAGAAATGCACACATAGTCAGCTTCATGTTGTGTAGCATTGGAGTGTATGTCTCATGGACCATCATAGTTTGAAGGTTCATAATTTCCCCCAAAATTTGTTATACAATACTTAACCATATTTTTTGTTTGTTTGTTTAATGACTCTCTGGCTACTATGTACATTTAGTAAAAGTAGAGCTTTTCTCTACTGATGTAACACTGGAGCCCATGACAGTGCCTCACCTGGATTTATCAAGTTTTCCAACAAATATATATGTATTTTTTTAATGTGTATGAATGTATTGCCTGCATGTAGGTAAGTGCACCCATGTCATGCAATGCCCTCTAGGACAGAAGAGGCTGTCGGATCCCCTGGAACTGGAGTTACAGACAATTGTTAGCTGCCATGTGGGTGCTGGGATTTGATCTGGGTCTTCTGCAAGAACAGCCAGTGTTCTTAACCGCTGAGCCATCTCTCCAGCCCCCCCAACAAATATTTTTTTGAATTAATGAGTGAAACTATAGTAGTAACCCAGACAAACTCAAAGTCATAGGCACAAACAGATAACAAACTCAAGAGATATGAACGAGTCACAGTGCTGCTTGCTTTTCCATGCCCATCACTCTCCTGGGGAACTAAACTAGGGGAAGGAGGTAATGTCCAGAGAGCTGGGCTTGTTGTTGATGTTGTTTATTTGTTTGTTTGCTTGCTTGTTTTTTGAGACAGGGTCTTCTTGTAGCCCCAGCTGGGCTGGAACTTACTATGTAGACCAGGCTGGCCTTGATCTCATAAGAGATCCAACTACCTCTGCCTCCTGAGTGCTGGGATTAAAGGCATGCCCTACCCCATCTGGCAAGAGAGAGAAATTTTTAAGCTTCACTTGGTTATCCTGGAAACTGCAAGGGAAAGATGGTGTCTAGGGTCTGTCTCCCTGAGCACCTCCCGCCTCTGTCTCTCAAGGGCATCTCACTTTTTTCTATTTCCCCCTTGGCCAAAGGCTAGCAGGATTGACTTACTACTTGCAGTGTTGGGCACCTGCTTAGAAAGTCTGTTGATTTAACCAGGCATGGTGGTGCATGCCTTTAGTCCCAGCATTCGGGAGGCAGAGGCAGGCAGATCTCTGTGAATTTGAGGCCAGCCTGGTCTATATTGTGAGTTCCAGTCCAGCTGGGGCTACAGGGAGCCCTGTCTCAAAAACACCAAAAAAAGAAAAAAAAAAAAGAAAAGAAAGTCCGTTGATTTCAAACAAACAGTTATTAAGCATTTATGCCAAGCATTATATCAGGAATGGTGCATACATAGCCGTAAGCAGACTGATGGGCTTTATCTAAGGAAATGTGGGGCAGGAAGGTAGGCAAACTGGATTTTTTTCTACAGTGTGGCAAGTACTACACAGAAGGAAATTCATAGGGCTTTAACACAGCAAACGGTTAGGGGACATTTTCCCAAAGGAGATAAAACTTGAAGGTAAGAATTAGCCACACTAGGGGCTGAAGAGATGGCTCAGGGGTTAAGAGCACTTACTGCTCTTGCAGAGGACCGGAGTTCGATTCCCAGCACCCACATGGCAGCTACGAACCTTCCTTAACTCCAGTTCCAGGGGAATCCAAAGCCTTCTTCTGACCTCTGCGGCATTGCACGACACGGGTGCACTCACATATGTGCAGGCAATACACTCATACACATAAAATAAAAAATAAATAAATGAATAATAAAAAGAATTAGCTACACTAAGGAGAGTTAGAGAGGCACCCTAGATGAAGGAACAACACAAACCAGGACAAAGAGCCATGGAAACAAAGTTCATTTCAGGAGTAGCCGGAGCCATTTACGCCATTGTTCTTGCTCTATGCTCCCAGAAAACATTCACCTGTCACATTAGCTCTCACCTTCAGTTTCCTGAACACATACACACTTCCACCAGTAGGACTGGTTGATCCAGCAGTGCCAAGGGTGTATAGGGAAAGCAAAGAGGGCTATCCTCACCCAGCACAGGGCAACAGGATGTGTTTGCTCTGGGAAGAGCACTAAAGTACTAACCGTCCTTCCCTCCTAACCCATCCCCAGCTGCCACCCAAAGGAAAGCTCCGGAGCTTGTGTAGCCAACACATGGAAAAGCTACAGATCTTCCAGCACCTCCATCCAATTGTGGTCCAAGCTGCCTTCCCTCCACTCTACAAGGAACTCTTCAGCACTGAAATTGAGTCCCCTGAGGGGATGTCCAAGTGATCTGGATGAGAGATGACATTCATCTCCCTTCAGCCTGCTGGCCCACCTCCCCGGACCTTTCCTGTGCCCTCTGGAAGGTGGTCTCCACCTGCTATCTAGGAGTGAGCAAAAACTGAGACTGGTTCTGCCCTCAGGCTTACTTGGCAGTGCAACAATAGCCAAAGGGTGGTGATGGAGAAAAGATGTGTTCTTTTTCATTTCCCATACCTTCTACCCTGCCTTCTGGGTGGTATGGGGTGGGTAGGATACAAGGACCTCTAGGATGACCACCAAACACAAACAAACAGGGGAATAAACCCAGACACCTGGGATGACAAGAACTCTACCCTAGGCTCAGAAGCTAAGAATAGGCCTTTGAAATACCTCATTGTATTTCCCCATGGAAATACAATCTCTTCCGACTCGGGGAGATGGAGCACGCTCAGAGACTAGTGGCAAGAGCCCAGAAGGAACTGTATATTACATGAATCCAGCTCCTTAAGATTTTCTACTTTCTTCTTCTTAGTTCAGAAACTTCTCAGTTCAGAAAAGTTGTTGACTACTCTGCCTTTTTCCTGGGATCTAAAAAATACATGGGTATGTGAAGGATAAGGATGGGATGGAGATGAGGGGCCAGGATAATGGTTTTAAGGGAATTGGGTGTGGAGAGAAGGTATGGTGGAAGTCCAGAGCATCACTGGCAGCATTAGAATGCAATGCAGGCAGATCAGAGACACACATCCACACACAGGTGGAACACATACCAACTCCACCTGATGCAGTTTTGACACCATCTCCTCTGTGTGGTCACAACTCAGAGAAGGCAAAGGGCCTTAGGGAAGAGTTCCAACCACAGGACCTCAGAACATTTTTCATGGTGTTGCACCCACCACGATCCATCCCAGCTCCATCTGTCTTCTATTACAAGAACCCCCAAGAGAAGCAGAGGACTGGACACCGGTCAACCAGAAAGCCAAGGACAGAGTCTGGGAGAATGCCCGTGACTACAGCCTCTACCCTGCTCTCTCTTTGAGGAAGGAAGGCAATGCCATCCCCTGCTCTGTGCCTGGGTGCCACTGACCAGCATGAGGAACAGGGCAGGGACCTGTTTCTCCCCGGTGATCTTGCTCCAGAATTTCTCTCAGCTTTATAAGTCTGCAGAACCCACAAGGCAGGCTAAGTACCGATGACAAGGAGGGGAATTGCTTTTCCTCTCAGGGGAAGGTTCAGCTGGATAAACATAAACCCCAACTTGTGCCATTCTTTATAAAATGATTTGAAAGGCTAGAAGTGTGTGTGTGTGTGTGTGTGTGTGTGTGTGTGTGTGCAGGAGGGAGACTTGAACATCGCTGCCTGCTCTGCAGTCTCGTTCCTGTGTTGAGTCAGCAATCTGTCCTTTTAATATACATTCTAGACCCTGCCCCAGATTCTCTCTAGGCTGAGCAGTCCCCCAGGAAGATGTGTGAACTGATCTCCTGGGGTGGGAGGGTTGATTCTGGGTTGAGAACATTCCCACAAATGAGACCCGCGGGCTGCTTAGGTTTAGAGGTTGCACAGAATTGCTCGGCATCTGAGAGACCAAAAGCTCCTGTAGAAGACGGTGACCCAGTAGCTCTGTAGTTCCCCAGAAGGAATCAGGATGTCAGAAGGACCCTTTCCAGCTGCCCCAGCCATCTCTTTTGCAGACTCTGCCCCAACCGGGAGTCCTCCCTGCCGCCCCCACCCCGCAATTCGTCATCCTGTAGCAGTGCCTGCTGCAGCCCTCCCTACTCGCTTTATTTATTTATTTTGCACCAACAGGGTTGCTGCAGACTCATTCTTGCTTGGTTTAAAAAGAGAGAGAGGAGGAAAAAAAAGGAGAAATGCTTCCTGGCTCTTTTCTCTCACTCAGTTTTGGCAGCGGCGGCCGCAGTAGCAGCGGCAGCAGCGGCAGCAGCGCCCTGCCAACCAGCTGGTGCTGCAGACTGGCGGGCAGTGGGGAATGTGGTACATAGGGGAGGTGCAGGGGCCAAGGTGCAGCCCGGATGGGACAGGCCCCCACCCTGGACAGATGCAACGCCGAACTTGATGCCACCCTCCAGCTTCTCGGGTAAGTGCCCCTGCCCTGCAAGCGGCAGTCTCAGCTGCCCTTTCCCATAACATTCTCAGAGACAAGGCTAGACTGACTGAGTGTGCCTGTCAAGGAAAGGAGGTTTTATCTCCCTGTCAACCCCCAACTCCTGTCAACCATTCATCCTGCCCCTTAGACTCTGTTAGGGAAAACTAAAATGTCCCACGTAGCCCTGGTGAAGGGACTCCAAGGAGACCTCCCTTTCTTCCCCCCAGTGTTCACTCTACCTCTGGAAATGGTTTTATCCCACATTTCTAGGAGCCCCTCCCCACGCAGGTTCCCATCAGGTGTTCTTTAATGAGGATATGTGTTTGCATGGGTCTCTGGACTGTTACACAGACAAGAAGAAAGTGCCATATCTGGGGGTGGGGGTGATGCCCCCCTGACCCCAGAGGGACAGAATGAGCATTTGTGACATCTATCTGTGACATCTATCTCTTCCTGAAAAGTGACCAGAGGCCAGTCCTGGAACCACAGAGGATAGCAAAAGGTGTTGACCATAGGTCCCCCAGCCCCTGGCCCAGCTGGCTTTGGGGATGAAAAAGAAACTCATCAGAACACGAAGGGAGGGAGCTGGGCTACATGCTTCACTGCACTTGTGCTGAATGCAGAAGGATTGAGCAGGAACTGCAGCAGCAGTGATAAAGGGCTAGCTGTCAGGTGGACTTCCCAGAACAGGCATAGGGAGAAGGGAGGCTGAGAACAGAGGTACCTGTTAGGCTGGGAAAGAGGCAGGAGAGAGGATCCAGGAGCCTTTGCCCCCTGATACTCTTTCTCCTCCCTGAATCACCTCAGAACAGTTCCCTGCAGCACACCCTCATCCTTCTGCTCTTTTCCCCACCCTCCACTCTGAACTTGGATTGAACTTGGCATCTTTGTACTATAGCCCTCTGAAGAGGCTAGAGACCAGTCTCCAGAATGATCCTCCTAGAGCATGGGAACTGGGAGAAATCATATCTCCTAAACCACTTTGCCTGTGTTCTTCATGGGATAAAATAGGCCAGGCAGCAGAAAACTGACCCCACAGGGCCTAGAAAACCTGAATCCCCAAAGTCCCGAGGTGACAAGACCTGCCACCAGTGGGAAACAGCATGCCGCCTCCAGGAACATCAACTGGCTCTTGCTCCTACCCCTCTGCCAACCCTTGCCAAATCCAATATTCATCTATTGGGGTCCCTATCGTGTCAACAAGGCAAGGAGAGGGGTTCAACCCTAAAGACACATTCTTCTCTATCACCTTGCCCAGCCACCAGTAACAGCCACTCTGTCATAGTCACCATCCCTCTGATATTGCCCACACCCAGAGACCACTTTATATAGACAAGGCTCTGTACACTGCTTGTATCCAGGACCACTATACTAGCAGAAGGCTCCCTTCCTCCTACCCATGGCATCTGGTCAGATGCTGCCTGTTCTCCCTTATCCATGTCTCCTTGGATTACAAGCCACCTCTTGTGTCTTCTCAGAAAGCTCAGGCCAAAGGGCAGGGCAGAAGCTCTCCCTCAGATGCACATACAGACTAGACTCAAAACACTGGTAAGGAGGGAATCTAGGAGAAGCCCAAGACTGAAGACACCTGGACACCCTTTGGATTGTTCCTATATCTCAACGTCATCTATAATGAACGAGGGACTTCCCTTGAGGCTCTTCTTGTATGGGAGCCCAGTCTCCTCATGAAGTATCCCTGCACTCTATTCCATGGCCAATGTGTAGCTGGGCTGTTATCTACACAGGCAATCTGGGGAGGCCAAATCGGCTAGTCCAGGGCCCAGCAAGGCAGAGACTGGGGCAGAGCTGAGGCCTGCATGTTCCCCAGCTTCTAATGACTTAGTCAAGCTAAGGACCTCTCTCCAGTCAGAATGGGTTCTCCCTAAGCCTTAGCAAAGATGTGGGTACCAAAATGGAAGGACAAGAATAGCTTAAGAGAAACAGAGCAGAACTCGCAGAGATCAGCTATCAGGGAGACAGGAGCTGAGATATTTCTGGGTCTCACAGATATATGGGGGGGGGGAATCCTTACAGGGATACTCAGTTATTTCTCATTGCTCCATTCCACTCCCTTAAACCTTCCACCACAGAAATCAGCTTGACTAGGGATCTATGAGTAGGAAACACTTGGCTGGTTATTCAGGGCTGGAAAGGTGAGATTTTTTTTTTTTTCCACCAAGAGGAGTCCCAGAAAACCCCAGAGAGGTGGTGCAGCAAAAGCCTTCATGATTCTGTGTCTCACTTGCTGGCAATGCCAAGACAGATAGACCACTTTTCCTCCTCTCTAAGGAGACCCAGGGGCATCCAGGGTTACCTCATCTGAAGCCACTTTCCAAATAGGGCATGTCATCATCTATTCCAGGACTCAGGGGATGGACTCAGCCACAGCTCCAAAGCAAGCCTGGCCCCCGTGGCCCCCACTGCTTTTCCTGCTCCTCCTGCCTGGAGGAAGTAGCAGCTGCCCCACTGCGTGTGACTGCACCTCCCAGCCCAGGGCAGTGCTCTGTGCCCATAGGCGACTGGATGCTGTCCCCGGGGGGCTTCCACTGGACACAGAGCTCCTGGACTTGAGTGGGAACCGCCTATGGGGGCTTCAGCAAGGCATGCTCTCCCGACTAGGCCTGCTTCAAGAACTGGACCTCAGCTACAACCAGCTCTCTACCCTTGAGCCGGGGGCCTTCCATGGCCTACTAAGTCTACTCACCCTGAGGTTGCAGGGGAATCGGCTCCGAATTGTAGGGCCTGGGGTCTTCTCAGGCCTGTCTGCCCTCACACTGCTGGACCTCCGCCTCAATCAGATTGTCCTCTTCCTAGATGGAGCCTTTGGAGAGCTAGGCAGCCTCCAGCAGTTGGAGGTCGGAGACAATCACCTGGTGTTTGTGGCTCCAGGGGCCTTTGCAGGGCTAGCCAAGCTGAGTACCCTCACCCTGGAACGCTGCAACCTCAGCACAGTGCCTGGCCTAGCCCTCGCCCAGCTCCCAGCACTAGCAGCTCTTAGGCTTCGAGAACTGGACATTGAAAGGCTGCCAGCTGGGGCACTTCAAGGGCTGGTGCAGCTTAAAGAGCTGGAGATCCACTACTGGCCATCTCTGGAGGCCCTGGACCCAGGGAGCCTGATTGGGCTCAATCTGAGCAGCCTGGCCATCACCCGCTGCAATCTGAGCTCAGTGCCCTTCCAAGCACTACACCACTTGAGCTTCCTCCGGGTCTTGGATCTATCTCAGAACCCTATATCAGTCATTCCAGCCCGAAGACTCAGCTCCCTGGTACGGCTCCAGGAGCTCCGGCTGTCAGGGGCCTGCCTCACCTCCATTGCTGCCCATGCCTTCCATGGCTTGACTGCCTTCCACTTGCTGGATGTAGCAGACAACGCCCTGCAGACTCTAGAGGAAACAGCCTTCCCTTCTCCCGACAAACTGGTTACCCTAAGGCTGTCTGGGAACCCCCTAGCCTGTGATTGCCGCCTCCTCTGGCTGCTGCGGCTGCGTCGCCACCTGGATTTTGGCACAGCTCCCCCAGCTTGTGCTGGCCCCCAGCATGTCCAAGGGAAGAACCTGAGGGAATTTTCAGACATCCTGCCTCCAGGGCACTTCACTTGCAAACCAGCCCTGATCCGAAAATCAGGGCCTCGATGGGTCATTGCAGAGGAGGGGGGGCATGCTGTTTTCTCCTGCTCTGGTGATGGAGACCCAGCTCCCACTGTCTCCTGGATGAGGCCTCAGGGGGCTTGGCTGGGAAGAGTTGGGAGAGTAAGGGTTCTAGAGGATGGTACACTGGAGATCCGCTCAGTGCAGCTGCGAGATAGAGGGGCCTATGTCTGTATAGTCAGCAATGTTGCTGGGAATGACTCCCTGAGGACCTGGCTGGAGGTTATCCAAGTCGAACCATCAAATGGCACCCTCTCTGACCCCAACATCACCATGCCAGGGATCTCAGGCCCTTTCTTTCTGGACAGCAGGGGTGTGGCTATGGTGCTGGCTGTGGGCTTCCTCCCTTTCCTCACCTCAGTGACCCTCTGCTTTGGCCTGATTGCTCTCTGGAGCAAAGGCAAGGGCCGGGTCAAGCATCACATGACTTTTGACTTTGTGGCACCTCGGCCCTCTGGGGATAAGAACTCTGGGGGTAACCGGGTTACTGCCAAGCTATTCTAGCCTTTCCTTCCACACTGGAGACTCATCCAAGTCCACTTCAGAAGTCAATGGGAAAGGCAGAAGCAAGGCCTTTTAGGCCACTGCCTCATCCCAAGCAGCACAGCCTCCCACACCTGCTGTTTACATGATGAGCAGCTAATGATGCTTCCTAATAGAGCGGCGCTGCCCAGGGCTGTTCCTGTCTGAAGATAGCATTGCCATCTCTTCTCTGAGGGCCCCAGGGAGCTACAGATACAGACCCTGCAGTCATCCCAGCTCTCCCTTCATACCTTCAGACCCCAACTCAAAGCAGGAAACATACCCAAGGCTCCAGTCTGCTCTTTACACATTTATATCCATTAATAACCAGGACCAGTGGCCAAACACAACCACAAGATTATTTCAGAAGTGGGGCTGGGAAGTGGGAAGTGCCTCTGGCACTTGCTCCTCACCCAGGCAATCTCCCTTTTTCTCTGCTTCCCATTTCCTAGTCTAGACAGTGCCCCAAGGTGCAAGAAGAAACTAGAGCCAAGAATCCAGAGGATGCATGTGAGTGCAGACTGACTACACTGGCATTCTGTCCGCATGAGCCTTCACCACCTTCTGCCTGTCTCATCATTAAGCCTGCTGCCAAAGGCCACTACAGTGGCAGCCAGAATGAAACATGATCTCTGGAACTTTCTTTACTTCAGTCCACTTCTTCCTCTTCCTCCCATTTCACCTATTGAGCTTGTATCCCAATGACTTCATTTCCACCTAGCCAGACCTGACATACAGGATGAGGAGGCCCATGAGACCTGGAGAAATGAGCTCTCGGACCCCTTTCAGTCTCCATCCTTTCCCCTTTGCTAGAGCTGAGGAAAATGAGATCCTGCACCTTCTAAGGGATTCCTATACAGAAATCCCAGTGCGTCCCTTTCTTTCACATCCTCAGTCATTCCAGTGTCATGTTCCCAAGTGCACTTGGGGAAAAGCCAGAAGAAGGGAACTCCGAGAAAATGACTAGCAAACACAAGAATCTGCAGCGGGGAACAAACCACAGTGAAAAGTGTAGAGAAGAGGGCAGCGGCCAGAACTAGTTACTTGGCACTGCCCTCATGCAGCTCTCTCATCTGGATTTAGCATCACCCCAGTGGGAAGCTGTCCTTGGACAGACATCACCCCATAAGAAAGTGGAGAGGTAGAACTGCTGACTACACAGAGTGTGTTTCCAACAGAGAGCAAAGCAGAGTCCCAAAACACAATGATGCTGGAAGCTCTAGATGTCACAGCATCAGCATCTGAAAAGGAGGAGCCAAAAGGGGCAGAGAGAACAGGAGGCGGGATTGACTAGTGGAGAGTCATGCAGCCCCAGGGAGCCTTTCTAGGCTCCAGTGTCCTTAGTTTCCCTCCTCCTTGCAGAGTCCCCGCCCAACCCACACTCAAACTACCCTCCATGAGCTTTCTACTGGCTGCTGTTGCCGTTTCTCTGAGGAGACTCAACTCATTACAAGAGTCCCAATTCAAACTGTGTCTGACAGGTGGGAGCAGCTGGTAATACAACCAGCAAAGCTGAATTTCAGAGCAGGCAAGCTCTTTAGTGGGACAGAAGTAAATGAAGAATTCAGCTGTTTAGAGAGTGAGGCTAGAGAAAGGACATTCTTGAGAAATAGGCAACACTGAGCCCTCCCTCCCCCATGCCCTCACAGCTCAGGAGCAACCCAGCAACCTCCTCCTCTCCCTCATCTTCCACTAGCAGCTCATTAGATTGGGACTCGGGGGATGCCCCTATTCTCTTTTGATTTTTGAGATTTTGTTATTTTTATGTGCATGTATGTCTGCATGTATGCAAGTACACCACATGCATGCCTGGTGCCTGTAGAAGCCAGAATAGGGCATTGGATCCCCTCCCTGGAACTGGAGTTACAGGCCATTGTGAGCTTCCACGTGGGTGCTGGAAACCAAACCTGGGTCCTCATAATTGTTGAGCAATCTCTTCAGCACCCTCCTATTCTTGCATAGCTTTTCCAGGAAACCTCAGAGAAGTGAAGGCCATTAAGGTAACAAAGTCACTGTAGTGAGCACGCGCACAGCTTCTCTGACATCCGAGCTGTCTGGAAGGCTGCTGCTCTTAGCTCAGCTATGACTGCACAAGCTGGTGTGTGTGTGTGTGTGTGTGCGTGTGCGTGTGTGTGTGAATGTATTTGATCCTCACATCAATCCTGTAAGGTAGGTAGACAACTTAGCTGATAAAACTAAAGGTCAATTAGATGAAGTGGCGCAGGTCCACAGAGTTAGTTTACACTTGTGCTCAGAGCTAACTGACTCAGTCTTCAGTTTCTACCACATTGCCATCCTCACAGCTCCATTTTTTTTTTTTTTTTTTTTTTTTTTTTTTTTTTGGTCTTTTTGGGACAGTATCTCCTTGTAGCCTGAGCTGTCCTGGAACTCACTATGTAGACCAGGCTGGCCTTGAACTCACAGAGATCTGCCTGCCTCTGCCTCCCGAGTGCTGGGATTAAAGGTGTGCGCCACCACGCCTGGCTCATAGCCCCATTCTTAATAACTCTCAGGGCCTTGAGGGGTGACCTGTGAGAAAGGTAACGTCTTCTACCCACCCACTCAATTTTTAACGGGATCTGGGATCAGTTGTTGATTCTGGCATTTCTTCTATAACCCTGATTCATCTGATTCAGGAAGTTTAATTTTTAACTTTCTTCTCCCTCTCCTCTCCCAGTATCCTGACTGATGCCTCTGCATCAGGGACTGGTATAATGGAGCAGAAATTCCAGGGATCAGATAAATGGAAAAGGAATGCCTGTGTCTCCCAGTAAAGAATTCTCTCATGGTTAAACCAAGGCTTCAGGTATCCTAGCTCCTATTCTGGGTGCTAACCTCAGATACTTCTTGGGTTAAACAAAGGCTCCTTGGAAATTTCCAGTATTAGAACAATCTGGAGTCATTTAAATCCATTCACGCTGCCTACCTCTGCTGGAAAGAACTTCCTGAAGTCTTCCCATCCCACCCTCCTCTCTTCCATTTGGAAGAGCATCAAAGCACCTCAGCAGAGAACTGTAGACCTGAAGTCCTCTGGCATCATTTAGCATCCCCCATATTGGTCCCTCTAATACCTGGAATGTTTCTTCTGATTTCTGACTTCTATTTTTTTTCCTCTGCTGTGTTGGATCCTGCTTCAAGGATGAAAGCCTTTGCAACTTTGAGTTATAGACTTCTCTGAGAATATGTGGTGCAATCTATAAGTGAAAACGTTCACCACTCTGCAGTCATTCTGAAGTCATCACAGCCCCCATGGGTGCAGATTAAAGACCTCTGCCTTGGAAGCCTCAGTTGCAGGGGGAAAGCTGAGGGCTCAGTCTGCCTTTGTTCCCAGGGTCCATTAGAGAAAAGGAAAAAAGGGTTACAATGTGAGGGAGATGTTAGAACAGGTAACAGCAGGTGCTAAGAATGGACCCTGTCCCCTCCTCCCACAAGCACCCATCTCTCAGGAACAGGTGAGAAACTGTAAAACTCCTCCTCCAAGAAGGAATGTGAGGATAACTCAGAACCAGAAACTCATGAGTCCAGTTCCTCCAAAGTACCTTGTAAGGGAAACCAAGTAGGAAGCCTTAGAGTAAGTGGTGGTGGCTGAGGAGCCTGAGAAAAGTTTCTACTCACACCTGAGCAAAGACAGGAGCGCAGCACCAGCACAAATTACGAAAGTGAGGCTCCTGCTCTGGGCTACCAGTTTCTGGTGAAGAGACTTGATTATGGGGGGAGGAAGTTGTGACTCCTACTGTGGGCAAAAAGAGAGATAAGGGCTGCTTTTCAAAGACTTAGACAACTAAGTCTTGGTTGAACAGATCACTCACACATGGTATGGGAAGAGAGCTCTGGAGCAGAGCTCTGGAGCCAGGCCACCTGTGTCTGAGAACCCATCACTGCCCATGCTATCTAAAGTCTGCTTTCTGCTTTGGCTGACTGAGTACAAACACCTGTCCACTGAATCCTCTAGGCAACCCACACCTTATTTTAATTCATTTCACCTACTGCCTCCCACAGCCTGTTCAGTAAACCTTTCAAGGAAAAGAGAACAGACTTCTAGGAACTAGAGATGAAAGTAAAAAATCACAGTCTACCAAATCCAGCATTTACAACTTTCAATACTGATTTGGGTTCATGATGGGAAATGCGACGAAAAATTCCAAATGCACAATGACCTGGGAGTGAGTTTGAAACCATTTCACCTAAAGTTACTCCTTCTGCTCCCTAAAGCCCCTATGAAGTCAATTAGAAATAAACCCCCTTGAAAAATGCTAACACGTGACTTTTCACCGCTCTGATTAATAAATTCTTCCAGGGCTGGGAAGATAGCTCAACAGATAGAGGTGCTTGTCACCAAACCTGACATTCCATCCCCAGAACCCACATGGTGGAAATAGAGAACTGACTCCTGAAAGTTGTCCTCTGACCTTCACACATATGCCATGGCATGAGCACACACACACACACACACTGACCACACACAACACACAAAAATTAATAAAGTTTAAAAGGGCAGAGCTGGAGAGACACTTTGCAAGAGCACTTGCTGCTCTTGCAGAGGACCTGAGTTTCGTTCCCAACACCCACATCAGGTGTTTCACAACCACATATAACTCCAGCTCTAGGGAATCCAACATCCTCTTCTGGCCTCTGTAGGCACCCGAACTCATGTGCACATATACACAGAAGCATGCATATACACATAAAGCATTTTTAATAGCTATGGCAATCAAGGCATTCAAATCCTTAGAAATAATCTTAACAAGCAAATATTTAAGTTCTACGTGATGAAAATTTTTAAACACCACTATGGGACATCAAAGACTTAAACTTATAGGAAGATTCTATATCACTAATACAACAATTCTTCTTTAATCTAAAAATAGGTGATTCCAATCAAAACAACAGCAATAGAACAGAAAAGTAAATTATGGCATATTCTCACAATGTAATCTACATAAGAAGGAGAATTAACGTATGAAACTTATATACAGTATGGATGAATTGCACATAAATAATTTGAACAAAGGAAGCCAGACACAAAAGAATGCATACTCTGATTTCTTCTTGGGGAAATAGTTAACAGGGAGGGGACCCAAGAGTGACTTCTGGGGCACTGGTAATGTTGGTTCTTGATTTGGTGCTGATTACAAAAAAAAAATTCCATTTTTCAAAGTTCATCAAGATGTATATTTAATGGCCAGATGGGGTGGCTCATGTTTGTAATCTCAGTGCTCTCTAGGTTGAGGCAGGAGAATTACCTTGTTTGAGGCCAGCCTAGGCTATATAATGAGTTCCAAGCCAACCTGGGCTACAGAGGAGACGCTGTACAAATAAACAAGATGTATATTTGTCATTTGTATATTTTATGCATGTAATTAATTTTTAAATTGTGTTTAAAATGCATGGTATGCATCAGTTTTTTAAACAGTGTAGTATTAGAACATGAATAGATCAATGAAGCAAAATAAGCTCCAAGATATGTAAGAATTTGGGTATTATAAAGGTAATACTCAAAAACAATACAGAAAATATGAGTCAGACAAAACAAAACAAAGTTGTATCTCCATCTCACATCTTACCAAATAAATTCCAGAAAAATAAAAAATGTACACCTACAAAAATATAGAAGTATCTATTTAAAGAAAACAAGTTTTTTTAAAACAATCTTAAATAGTGAGAGACTTTCTAAATATGATATAAAACCCATAGAGCTGGAGAGATGGCTCAGCACTTAAGAGCACTGGTAGTTAACAACTGTAATTCCAGTTCCGAGGGATTCAACGCCCTCTTCTGGCCTCTGCAGGCACTGAACGACATGGGTGCACTTAAATACATGTAGGCAAAACATTCATACACATAAAACAAAAATAAATAAATTTAAATATAAAACCCAAAAGTTATCAACTATAATGTTGACAAATTTAACTACATAAAAGTAAAAATTACGGGCTGGAGAGATGACTCAGCAGTTAAGAGCACTGACTGCTCTTGCAGAGGACCCCAGTTGGAATCCCAGCACAAACATGGTGGCTAACAACAGTCTGTAACTCCCATTCCAGGGGATCTGATACCTTCTTCTGACCTCCATGGGCACTGCAACACAAGAGCACTTAAACACATACAGTCAATACACTCATACACATAAAATTAGATAGATAGATAGATGATAGATAGATAGATAGATAGATAGATAGATAGATAGATGACAGATAGA